CTTTCTGAACTATTATTGAATTTCAGGTTAGCACAGCATGGGGCATAGGATTGATTGTCGGCCCTGCTCTGGGAGGTTTTCTGGCCCAGGTACTTTTATTCCTTGTTTGTTTTGCACAGAACAATCTCTTTTCAAAGTTTTGACAAGGCACCTTGTTGACAGTGTACTCTCTCTTCAAATTCTATATATTTTACAATGTGAAAAGTATTTATCTAATATTTTGAATTTCTTTTTCTCAAATTCAGCCAGCAGAGAAGTATCCAAATATATTTTCCAAAGAATCTCTGTTTGGAAGGTAAGTTAGTTAGCATTTTAGCAATGAAAGCTTCTTTTAGTAGAGCATTTTCTTTGTTTCTTTTATGATGATATTCCTCATTTCTTGCAGATTTCCATATTTTTTGCCTTGCCTTAGTATATCAATTTTTGCCTTGGGAGTAACCATAGCCAGTTTCTGGCTTCCGGTAAGTATCCTCTGTAACTTTGTTCCTACACATTTCCTCTTGTATTAGTCTTGGACACAAATATGTGGATTCTGTCAAGTAATTGTGGCAAACACTAATAGTTTGTCCACTAACAGCTTGGTGTGATGCTTGTCATCCTGTGTCTTTGCTCCATTCCTGATTCTGAATTGCTGATTTTTGCAGGAAACACTGCACGACCACAGAAAAAACGATAAATCAAGTGATGAACCGTATGATGGTTTGGAAGCTGCACGTGAGTCTTGCACAAAAGAAATAACAGAGGAAGATGAAGTCAGAGAACCTGCTTCCAATGAGAACCTCCTAAAGAATTGGCCATTAATGTCTTCCATTATTGTTTACTGCATTTTCTCCCTCCACGATATGGCATACACAGAGGTATGTGTCACATCTAATTTAGTTTGTTCAAGTATTGCCAGAATTCATGTCTCATTGAGTCATCTCTCTTCCATAATTACTATAATTAAAGCACTCTTTTATCTTACCATAGCTAGCAGTGCTAATATCAGCTTAAAATTCAAAGTAAATTCGCTAGCTGCTTTGCATACTATCTTTTCCCTTTTTCTGATAATCTACTGGTTTATGCAACTGATGTTCCAACTGAAGATATTTTCCCTATGGGCGGTCAGTCCCAGAGAGCTTGGTGGTTTGAGCTATTCAACACAAGATGTTGGAGAAATTCTTGCAATCTCAGGTACATACTTATGCATATAATATAGATTTGCAGTCCAGAAGATATTTAAATTAAAACTGATGACAAGGGTTCTTCCATATCTAGGCTTCAGCCTCCTCTTCTTTCAACTTGCTCTGTATCCATATGTGCAGAGGCTCCTTGGACCTGTAAAGGTGTCGCGTATTTGCGGAGTAAATTCTCAACACCTTGAAATATTCTGTCACTCTATATAATTTTACCTTGCCAGCCACTAGTCATTTCTTACTTACTGCATTTTCTCCTCACATTTCTCTCTTCGTTACATATTATCTTATTTGCAGGTCTTATCCATACCTCTATTGCAAAGTTACCCTTTGATAGCCATGTTATCAGGGCTCACCCTTAGCTTGTTGATAAATTGTGCCTCTGTCTTGAAGAATGTTTTTTCAGTAAGCACGTGTTCTGAAAATCAAACAGTAGTCCCTTGATGTAGTATTTTTCAGATTTATCTATCTATTCCTCTAACTACCAAATCTGTTCTGTATGATTAGGTATCCATTATAACTGGTTTATTCATTCTACAAAACAAAGCTGTGGTACTAAATCTCTCTCTGTTTATGTTGTTTGATTTCCTTGTTTACATTTCAATCCATAATCATTGTTGAGCTAATTTTACTTAATATGGGACAACAGGATCAACACCAAAGAGGAGCTGCTAACGGCATTGCTATGACCGCAATGTCTCTATGCAAAGCAATTGGTCCAGCTGGAGGAGGTTCTTTGTAAGTTCTATGATGATATTTATAAATAATTAACCTTCAATGCCATGGGAAGTTCTACTTAATGCTGTTAATTTATTCATTTCTTTGCAGACTTTCCTGGGCAGAAAAGCGCCAAGATGCAAGTTTCCTCCCTGGTGTGTATATGGTTTATGTTTCCATCAGTATAAGAATATGTTGAGTTTCTCTTTGGAATCATTTTCTTTGTTGTTGTTGTTGACATTTATGCAATGGTTTTGAATCCAGGTGACCAGATGGTTTTCTTCATCTTGAATGTGGTTGAGGCAATTGGAGTGCTAATGACATTCAAACCATTCCTGGCTTAACGCAACGCATAAAAAGCATATTAGATCTGAGGTTTTACATGAGAAGAATGAATAATTTTACCTTGGATATGATTCTTTGATGTTGTAGAACTGAAACATATCATACCATTGTAGTCAAAATTGTTGCCATTATGCCTTTCAATTAAAAAAGTAAATTAAAAATGTGCAAGCAAAAGACTGCTTTGAGGTTTATAGCTCAAACTAGTGTAATGTATCACCAGGAACTGCTGTCCTAAAGAAATTCATTACCCTAACAGTCAGACACTGAGCTGGATCCCTAATCCTTTGCTTGCTTTCCCTCTAAATAAGATAATAAATGCAAAGTTTTCCAAATCATTTTTCCAGGCACTACTTCGTCCAAATCAATCTGAAAATAATAAATTTTGCTCAAATATTGTAAACACACAACTTTATGCTAAAATTTAAGATAGAGACAAAAAGCTTATACTTAGATTGCACTGAAGTAACCTGTTGATGGAAGTTTAAAGAGTGATGCGAATGATACTTGAAACTCATATTCAAATCTTTTTATTATCATTTCAGTGACAACATAAAGCTGTTAATTATTAATCATGCTTTTGCTTTTGCTTTTGCTTTTGTTTTTCATAAGTTAAAAAACACTAGATTACAAAAATACTAAATATGTTTTGCAAATTTAATTTTACTAAATTATAAATAATAGTTATTAAATAAAAAAAATTAATGCTTAATATTCAAGACACTTCATCGTTAATAATTAATATTTTACAATTTAATTTATAAAACATGTCCTTAAAAAGAATTAAAAAATGAACCACTTTGATTTAGTTTGATGTACTCGTAATTTTATCTATATAATAATGTTAATGGCTTAAATAATTTTGTAGTAATTTCGTTTTAATAAAAAATTTTGAATTTAAATAATATGAAATATGAGTACGATATGATAAAAAATGAAAGAGAATTATTTGCAATTAACATTAAAAAAATCTTAATAATATAAAAAACATATAAGTATATAAGATTAGTATTTATCCATCTTATCTATTGAAAATTAAGAGAAAAATTATTTTAAAACTATATTGTTCTAATATAGTACTACAAAAATGATAAAAAATACTCTAATTTATATTTTAAAAATATAATATTTTAATTTTTTTCAACATAAATTTATTAAAATATGTAATTTTGAAATAATTTTTCAATAAAAACAAATAGATACCATTCCCTAAATATATTTAATATATTTTATGTATTTGTTTTAATTTCGTCTGTTGACCTCTACCCTATTCAATCCGATTGACCAAAAATTGGGCTCCGGGTACCCGAGCCCGGACCAGTAAGCTGTCTGTATAAAAACTAGGGTTTTATATCGCCGAACCCTAGTCTTGAAACTGCAATCCCCTCTTCTTCTGAAAACCGACATAGCTCAAGATCATATACTTGTTGGTTCTCGCTTAAAATTTTCCCTGTGATTTTCTCGGCCACCAAACGGAAGATAATTCACCGGCTGATTCTTTTCCTCTTCCCAGTTTGTTAGCGAGATGGGGGTGAAGGCGAAGAAAGCATTGAAGAAGAAACTGGAGAAGGCTTCTGCTCAGTTCGCACTTTCTGATCCTAAAAATTCAGCCCCTGATTTCTTGGTATGCTTGTTCTTATCCACTTAATGAATTCCCGCTGTTAACTTGAGTTGCGCCGTCTCAAAATCTTCTGGTATGCTTATTGCAGCCGTTGGAAGGCGGACCGGCACGGAAGCTTCCTGTCGAGAAGCCGCAGGAGAGTAAAGCGACGGTGCTGTACATTGGTCGCATACCACATGGGTTCTATGAGAATGAAATGCAAGGTGTGAATTTTTTTCTTGGGAAAAAAACTGACAAGTGATATCAATGTAGTTGTTTGATTTGTGGATGCTTAATTGCAGCTTATTTTCAACAATTTGGCACCATCAAGAGATTAAGAATTGCCCGTAATAAAAAGGTGAGACTTCAATGTCTCGTACATATTGGCCCATCTAATTTTGCTTAATACCCTGTTTGTTGGTTGCCTCTGAAGCTATCCCTTTATACCACCTTTTGTTGAATTTGTTGCTTTATTGATGCTTATTGTGCTTGCATTTTCAGTATTGCAGTTGTTACTGACTTTTTTTCTACTCTTTCCATTTTTATTATTTGGTGTTACTCAGACGGGAAAATCAAAGCATTTTGGCTTCATAGAATTTGAAGATCCTCAGGTACCATATACATTTTGATAGCACGGTTTGTGTACTCTGATCTTCCTTTTTTTTCTTTTTTTTTTCTTAACTACTTTTCAATGGGTGCAGGTGGCAGAAGTTGTAGCAGATTGTATGCATAATTATCTGTTGTTTGAGCACCTTTTGCAAGTCCATCTTATTCCTCCAGAACAAGTTCATCCGAAATTGTAAGCAAACAGTTATTGTTATTTTTGATTTGGTTGTTTTTTTCATTTCTTTTATTTTGAGAGAAAAAGTTTGAATTCTTCATTTAGCTTAGTTAACAAATGATATAGTGGGTCACTATATAATTTATGTAATCTCGACAGTCACCAAAGTATTGCAATCTGGATGTCTGTTGTTTATTGAAATGAGAGAAAGGAAAGATTGCAACCTTTGCTTTATTTGCTCCTCGTGTTTCTGTGAAATAAATGGAAGAAAAAGAACTGAAAGAGGGAGGTTCTGAATATTTTTTTATAAGCTATTTACAAGCATATAAATGTGTAACTCATTGGAATCTGTTTGATTTAAGGAACGACCATGGTGCTGGTTCCCTTGTCATTTTTTATGCATACTTTTGAATTTGCTTTGCATGATTCAATGTTTCCATCTAGTTTGACTTGACACTCAAACTAAATGAGTGAAGGTTTGGAAATAATCAAATAACCATTACTTTATACCATTAGTAACTTCTACTTTTATGTTATGTATGTCAAACATGTAAAGGGTCTATTTTGATAGGTACTAATCAGCATTGTGTTCTATTTGATACGTAGATGGAAAGGATTTAACTATAGATACAAACCAGTGGAATGGGTGCAAGTTGAACGAAAGCGTCAGAATAAGGTATGCACAATAGATGTGAACAAATCCATAAGAATATTTATACATGTTGGTTTGTGAAATTTTTAATTCCAACATGCAAATGTAATTCTTTCTTTGTTATTCAGGAGAGAACATTGGAAGAGCACAAGAAATTGGTTGAGAGGATCTTAAAACGAGATAAGAAGCGCCAAAAGAGGATAGAGGCTGCTGGCATTGATTACGAATGTCCAGAAATTGTAAGAATTGGAAACAATAAATCCAATAAATTTCTTGTATTTATACCATGCTAAATCATGTAACCCATCAGTACTTTTAGCTTCTGGCCATATGCTCACAAGTCATTTATATATTTTGCAGTTGGGTAGCATCCAGCCTGCTCCAAAGAAGATAAAATTTGATGAAGAGTAAGCATCCTGAAGTTAGGTATGTTATCTAGCTTGCATTTAAAAAGTTTTACTTTACCTACTGTAATTTGAGCGTTTATGAATTTTTAACCTTTCTGTGTTAGGTTACGATCGGACGCTGCACCGACAGGATTGATTGAAGGTCGTTCAGTAATGCTGCCTCACCATGCTAGATAATTAGTTAATTGCTTCTCTAACTATCTACAGAGAAGCTTCTGTTTTTGACAATCCACCTGTATTTTGGATGATGAAATTTATAATTTCAGTTGAGATTGAGCTAAACCAATTTTCTGACCATTTACTCAAATTTGGAGAAGAAAACTTGTACTAAAAATCGTTAGTATGGATACTCGCAGAGGGGTAATGACTAATGAGGATGAAAATGGGTGTAGAAGCAAATGTAAGTGTGCTATAGAGCAGCACCCAGAATTGCGATGCAAGGGAGTTAAAGCAGAGCTGACAAAGGACGTTGGCACCCGCACAAGCCAACAAACCCGTCAATCCAACGGCCAGAGCATAGTCGAGATCAGGGTTCACCAGTTCTCCCTTACTCCCTACGCCGGACATACTTGCTCGAATGAAAACTGCATTGGGTTTTTTGGGGATCATTAACAGTGTGTACCGCAAGGCCAGTTAGTTAAGGTCACAAAGGAGAAATGAGAATAATTAAGTGGAGAATTGACATAGTGGTGGGAGTCAATTTTTCTTTGAACATTTACCCATAAAACATTTTCGAGCTAGTTTGGGATGATAATGGTTAAAAAGTGTTTATTAAAACCATCTAATTTTGACATGGGAATGAAAAGAGATGGGTTAATTTCACTTTAACAAAAATATTAAACATTATAGTTAATATAGTGATAAAAATTAAATATCGTCTTGCAGTGATAGTAAATTGATTAGATATTAGAATTAACCAACTCTAATTTTGTTTAAACAATTAAAATAAAATAATATGAGTGAATTAATTAATTAAGACTTCATTTAATATAGTTGTGGTTTTTAAATTTTTAAAACTTTGAATAAAATTAAGTAGTTTCATAAATTAATTAAATTTAAAATTTTGGGTATTTGTTTTGAAATTTTATATCCAATAAGTTCATATTAACCCAACATATCTCCATATAAATTTAAATAAATACAGATATTATATTTTATGAAAATTTTAATTTATGTAAAAAATTAAATTTATTTATTACTAATACTACACAAATCATGTTGGTTTATTTCTAAATTTTGTTTAATTTATGATACATATTACTAAAAGTTATTGTATAAAATCTCCTTTTAATCTTAATTATAATCTTCAACTCAATTTTAATAGTGATCAATCATTCAAAAAATTAATAAACAATAATATATACTTTATATGAAATAATAAAATTTTAAAATATAAAAAATCTATACATATTGAGTAGACTATATTGCACC